TTTTTTTTTTTTTTTTTTTTTTTTTTTCCTCGGGTTCTGTCGGGGTTTGAACACAGGTCTGCATTTAAAAAACAATTCATGGGTGCGGTCCCAACCGAGCGAGGGGCGTTGGTAATCGACACCACTCTCGCCGGCTGCTACACGTGGACTAAGCTTGAGACCAGATACATAAAGGTTTGTCACTACACATGGACTAAGCTTGAGACCAGATACATCAAGGTTTGTCACTACGCAGTAAGCGGGGAAGGCAGCAGGGAAGTCCAAAGAAGAAGAAGAAGCTGTCTTAAATGTTTATGGAATTCTCTCGTAGACAACGATTTTCGATCCCTTTCGCAGGCTGCTACATGTGGACGTAGCTTGAGACCAGATACATCCAGGCGTTTATGCAGCAGTTCTCTCATCGGCGGCAGCTACACCACATATTTGCCAACTGCTTGCCGGACACGTGCTATCTTTTTTGCACTTTTTAAGAGAGAGAAAAAGAAAGGGGCTCCAAAAAAAAAAAGAAAAAAAAAAGAAAAAGAAAAAGAAAGGGGCAGCAGCACTGCAGGCACAGCCTGGCTGCAGGGCAACACAAGCAGATGTCTGACAGATTACCTGATCTGACAGACTGACATGTAAACGGGACAAAAAATAATCACAGTTTGAGGGGGCGAATTAACAAAAAAAGGGGCTGGCCAGATTGAGGGCTAGTTTCGGCTAAATGATAGACGACATCGGGCCCCAACAAGTCCAGTCCTCTGCTGAATGCACACTCCTTCCATCCAAAGTTCCAAAATATACCCTTGTCGAGGGGGTGAATTACAAAAAAAGGGGTGAATTACCAAAAAGAGGGGTGAATTACCAAAAAAAAAAAGGGGCTGGCCAGATTGACGGCTAGTTTCGGCTAAACGAGATAGACCACAACTGGTCCCAGCAATTCCAGTCCCCTCCTCAATGCACACTCCTCCATCCAAACTAGACCCTCCTCCTCCTCCTCCTCCTCCTTGGAAGGGGGTGAATTACGGAGAAAAGACAGGCCAGATTGAGGACTCAAAAGGTGTCTCCGCATCGGGGCCCAACAATTTCAGTCCTCTCCTCAATGCACACACCTCCATCCAAATTACCACCCTCCCCTCCTCCTCCTTTCAAAGGGGTTCATTACCAAAAAAAGGGGCTGGCCAGATTGATCGCTCAAGGCTAGCCCACATCTGGCCCCCAACAATTTCAGTCCTCTCCTCACTGCACACTACTCCATCCAAATTACGACCACCCTCCTCCCCCTCCTCCTCACCAACAGAGAGGGAGAACATGAGCACACAGAGAGAGAGAGAGAGAGGGAGAACA